ACTAATTCATTGCTGAATTGATTGCAGTCTGAAGCACGCATATAAAAAAGTCATCGCGGCTGGCTGGGGTTTACTAATTAGGGGGGCGTCCTTTTATTTGTGGGGGGGACACCGCTCAAGGGGGGTAGCCTTTCTGAGCTCCCAAAAACAACATTTTTTAATTACATTTTAATTAGAAATCGATCATTTGGGGGATGCGTTTTTTTTTCCAGTTTTGGCGTCTTGAAATTGCCACATTGCAAAAATATATTTGCGAGGTGGATGAGGAAAGATCAGGCAATGTTGATGTAGTTGTTGAATCAATTCATTGCTTAATTGATTGCAATCTGAAGCACGCATATAAAAAAGTCATCACGGCTGGCTGGGGTTTACTAATTCGGGGGGGCGTCCTTTTATTTGTGGGGGGGACACCGTCAAGGGGGGTAGCCTTTCTGAGCTCCCAGAAACAGCATTTTCTAATTAGATTTTAATTAGAAATCGATCATTTGGGGGATGCGTTTTTTTTTCAGTTTTGGCGTCTTGAAACTGGCACATTGCAAAAGTATATTATACTTGCGAGGTGGATGAGGAAAGATCAGGCAATGTTGATATAGTTGTTGAACTAATTCATTGCTGAATTGATTGCAGTCTGAAGCACGCATATAAAAAAGTCATCGCGGCTGGCTGGGGTTTACTAATTGGGGGGGGCGTCCTTTTATTTGTGGGGGGGACACCGCTCAAGGGGGGTAGCCTTTCTGAGCTCCCAGAAACAGCATTTTTTAATTAGATTTTAATTAGAAATCGATCATTTGGGGATGCGTTTTTTTTTCCAGTTTTGGCGTCTTGAAACTGGCACATTGCAAAAGTATATTATACTTGCGAGGTGGATGAGGAAAGATCAGGCAATGTTGATGTAGTTGTTGAACTAATTCATTGCTTAATTGATTGCAGTCTGAAGCACGCATATAAAAAAGTCATCGCGGCTGGCTGGGGTTTACTAATTGGGGGGGGCGTCCTTTTATTTGTGGGGGGGACACCGCTCAAGGGGGGTAGCCTTTCTGAGCTCCCAAAAACAGCATTTTTTAATTAGATTTTAATTAGAAATCGATCATTTGGGGGATGCGTTTTATTTTCCAGTTTTGGCGTCTTGAAATTGCCACATTGCAAAAATATATTTGCGAGGTGGATGAGGAAAGATCAGGCAATGTTGATGTAGTTGTTGAACCAATTCATTGCTTAATTGATTGCAATCTGAAGCACGCATACAAAAAAAATCATCGCGGCTGGCTGGGGTTTACTAATTGGGGGGGGCGTCCTTTTATTTGTGGGGGGGACACCGCTCAAGGGGGGTAGCCTTTCTGAGCTCCCAAAAACAGCATTTTTTAATTAGATTTTAATTAGAAATCGATCATTTGGGGGATGTGTTTTTTTTTCCAGTTTTGGCGTCTTGAAAGCCACATTGCAAAAGTATATTATACTTGCGAGGTGGATGAGGAAAGATCAGGCAATGTTGATATAGTTGTTGAACTAATTCATTGCTTAATTGATTGCAGTCTGAAGCACGCATATAAAAAACTCATCGCGGCTGGCTGGGGTTTACTAATTGGGGGGGGCGTCCTTTTATTTGTGGGGGGGACACCGCTCAAGGGGGGTAGCCTTTCTGAGCTCCCAAAAACAGCATTTTTTAATTAGACTTTAATTAGAAATCGATCATTTGGGGGATGTGTTTTTTTCCAGTTTTGGCGTCTTGAAACTGCCACATTGCAAAAGTATATTATACTTGCGAGGTGGATGAGGAAAGATCAGGCAATCTTGATGTAGTTGTTGAATAATTAATTGCCCAATTGATGGCAACTTCACAAAAAACATCTGAAACCAGTCTGTTTGGCAATAGTGCGGCTCGACCTACTGAAAGCACAGCTCTTGCAATGAAAGAGAGTCACCTCTTCCCAACATGATGAGCCAACCCACAAGAAACTTCTGAAACCAGTGTGTTTGGCAATAGCGCGGCTTCGACCTAATGAAAGCACAGCTCTTGCAATGAAAGAGAGTCACCTGTTCCCAACGTGATGAGCCAACGCACAAAAAACCTCTGAAACCAGTGTGTTTGGCATTAGCGCGGCTTCGACCTAATGAAAGCACAGCTCTTGCAATGAAAGAGAGTCACCTCTTCCCAACATGATGAGCCAACCCACAAAAAACCTCTGAAACCAGTGTGCTGGCAATAGTGCGGCTTCGACCTACGGAAAGCACAGCTCTTGCAATGAAAGAAAGCCACTGGAAGTAATTAGAGGCAATGTCCAGAAGCAGGCAAAGGTAGCTAACATAACAGCAAGACATTGGCAGAGAAAGACGCACAACACACAAGCATTCAAGCCAGCTGTGTGCCACCCCCGGGCTGCAAGACGCACCCTCCGGGAATCTAAGCCGCTGTGTGCCACCCCCCGGGCTGCAAGACGCACCCTCCGGGGATCGAACCTGGGTCCATTGGCCCAGAGCCTATTCAATACCACTATGCCACGGGGGCTTGACCTAAATGGCAAAAAAAGGCTGTATAGAACCACTGACTGGGCCTGGAAGGGGTTTGCCGGAATCAAAAACACAATGCGCAACACCCCCCTAACCCCCCAACCAAACCCGCAGCCAAACCCCCAAACAACCCCCCCAATTAATGAAACCACCCCCAAATTAACCCTCCCCAAACCTTTTGGTAGTCGACGTTCCCGCTCACGAAAGGCTCTTGCAACGATAAAAAGTCAACTTTTCCCATCATCATGAGCCAAAAAACCTCTGAAACCAGTGTGTTTGGCAATAGTGCGGCTTCGACCTACTGAAAGCACAGCTCTTGCAATGAAAGAGGGCCACCTCTTCCCATCATGATGAGCCAACCCACAAAAAACCTCTGAAACCAGCCCTTTTTTGTCTCCCCTCCCCCCTTTTTTGTGTTTGGCAATAGTGCGGCTTCGACCTACTAAAAGCACAGCTCTTGCAATGAAAGAGAGCCACCTCTTCCCAACATGATGAGCCAACCCACAAAAAACCTCTGAAACCAGTGTGTTTGGCAATAGTGCGGCTTCGACCCCCTGAAAGCACAGCCCTTGCACTGATAGAGGGTGCCTTCAAGATGCCCTCTTTTTTTTTGGTTGTGGCTTATCCGGATCCACTTGTATATGTGCATATCAAATTACGTCGTCGTCGTCGTCGTAGAAGTAGTAGCCGTAGCAGCCGTAGCAGCAGTAGCAGTAGCAGTAGCAGTAGCAGTAGCAGTAGCAGTAGCAGTAGCAGTAGTAGTAGTAGTAGTAGTAGTAGTAGTAGCAGTAGTAACAGCAGTAGAAGAAGCAGCAGCAGCAGCAGGAGGAGGAGTAGTAGTAGTAGCAGTAGTAAAAAAAGTGCCACGTTGCAAGAGCATACTTGCGAGGTGGATGAGGAAAGATCGGATTCCTATGAGAAAAGATAAGCAAACCTATGGTAAACCATCAGATTCCTATGAGGGAAGATTCGAAAATGAATGGTAAACTATGAGATTCCTATGAGAAAAGATGAGAAAACCTATGGTAAACCATCAGATTCCTATGAGAAAAGATGAGAAAACCTATGGTTAACCATCAAAATCCTTTGAGGGAAGATGAGGAAACCACGTAGAAACCATCAAATTCCTATGAGGGAAGATTCGAAAATGAATGGTAAACCATGAGATTCCTATGAGGGAAGATGAGGAAACCTAGGGTAAACCATAAAATTCCAATGAGACATGATCAGAAAACCTCTGGTAAACAATCAAATTCCTATGAGGGAAGATGAGGAAACCACGTAGAAACCATCGAATTCCTATGAGGAAACATTCGAAAATTAATGGTAAACCATACAAAAATCCAATGAGACATGATCAGAAAACCTTTGGTAAACCATCAAATTCCTTTGAGGGAAGATGAGGAAACCACGTAGAAACCATCAAATTCCTATGAGGGAAGATTCGAAAATGAATGGTAAACCATGAGATTCCTATGAGAAAAGATAAGAAAACCTAGGGTAAACCATAAAATTCCAATGAGACATGATCAGAAAACCTCTGGTAAACCATCAAATTCCTTTGAGGGAAGATGAGGAAACCACGTAGAAACCATCAAATTCCTATGAGGGAAGATTCGAAAATGAATGGTAAACCATCAGATTCCAGTGAGAAAAGAGAAGAATACCTATGGTAAACCAAAATAGGAAGTAACCCTGGAAATTGCAATCCGAATTAAAAAGTAAAAGGGAGCAATAGCAAATTAGTCCCACCAAAAATTTGGGGATCCCGGAGGGGCATGATTAATTGGGGGGTGTTTCACGGTTATTAGGGGGGGAAATCAGCACGTAGAGGACTTTAGTATTGCCCCAAAATTTCCGGTGAAAAAGCGCTTGATTAACTCGGGGGCTTTATTAATCCTACCTCAACATTACTTATCTATCTATGCACATACCTGCCTGAACCTAAATAATACTTGTGTTGGATGGTTCACCCCCAACCTTCTGGGGAAACAACTCCAAAACGAATGGTCACTTGGGTTCGGTATACATACATACATCATATTTATGTATGTATGTATATATATATATATAAACGCACATAATACATACACACGTTACAGAAATTATAGCCCACTAAAGATCTTTTGCCAGAGCAACAACCATAAGTTTTGATGGGAAAACTCTTGGTCAGTTTCACTCAGGGAAAAAAAACAGTGGTTTGCTGTAAATTTCTTCTATAGGATTAGATACGGGAAAACACCAAAAAACAATGCCTTTACTTTGTGTCCTGGTCCATTGTCTGAAACTGGAGGTATACGGGTATACGATATACCATACATATACTCAATCAGTCAACTATCATATACCATACATAGACCATACATAGACCATACATATACCATACATATACCATACATATACCATACATATACCATACATATACCATACATATATAGTTTACCTGCTATCCACCATTCAAAATCTCTACGGTACGTGACCCAGTGACCCAGGATGGACATGCCCGATGAGAAAGCCATCGAAGAGTTCGGAATGAAGACTCAGCTGACGTCTTTGCCCAGAGACCATCCGCAGTGGAAGCAGCTCGTCGTCGTAGGATCCAATAACTATGGTGAATGGTACTTAGAACGAACTAGTTACTGGTGCTTATAAACCAACTTATAACTGGGGGGCTATAAATATAACGACTGCACATGACTTGGGTAAATTATAACGACCGCAAGGTGACGTCACTCGAATGATGGTTGGTAAGGGGTAATGTCCCCAAATCACCTTCTTTTGGGTTAGTGAATTATTTTAATCTACCCAGAAATCATGGTGAATTGAAGCACCATCAAGCAGATGGACGTAAATCAGTTTGGTGCTTTATTTGAAACTGATATAAACTGATTGTTTCTACAGATCTTGCCCAGTTTCAGAGGGGTTCTATTCGCAGCCCTGTTGTTTTATTCGAAGCCATGGGAATTCATGCTGAATAAACATTAATACTGGAACTTCACCGGGTGGGTTCCCATGGTAGCTGGTTTGAGAACTGGGTAACATATAGTCTAATAGATATATACAGATACATATTATATAACTGGGATAGTATATCTCCTTAGATCTACATAGATCTACTGATTATAAGAAATAAAAAAAAAACAGGCGATTTGCTATTGGTCAATGCCCCTAGTAGCCTAGTGGTGTACACTTCCATTCTTCAAACTGACCTCGGTGTAAAAGTCAGGCAGGGACACAGAGACGACAGATGGTTGGGAATCATCCCCAAATCATCGTGCTTCTCTAACTGGTTGGTGGTTTGGAACATTTTTTGTTCATATATTGGGAATAATAATCCCAACTGACTTTCATATTTTTCAGAGGGGTAGGTATACCACCAACCATCTAATATTTACTGTAATTATTGGTATATACATTCTTTAAGGGGAATAATCTCCAAATCATCTTCCCTAACCATTATGATTGGTGAATTGCCACTTTTTTAAGATATACATATTGTTGCGTCTGCCATTGATCAGTACTGACGAATGGATAGAATTGATATTTTGTTTGCTTACTTCATGAGGAATTCCAATATGGAAGCCACTTCCATGGGTCACTATTGGATTTTTAGGCTTACATCGGCCATATTCTGATTTGCATGTCCGAAAATGCGGTAGTTTACTACCAAAACACAGCAAAAAGCTGATATTTTCTAGCATCTTGGATTTCGAAGACCCCAGAATCTGGCCAAATCATGTTGAGTCACCGTTAAAATGGTGATTAAATCACATGATTTCCTGCTTGCACTTCAACTTTGAACTTGGCTGTGAGGGTCTTCTTACTTCGCACACCAGCGCATCAATCAGCGGTGCTGATGCATCTTCATCATGCCTTGGGTGATGGTTTAGGCTTGCAAGATGGCAACAAACCATCCCGTCCCGATTTTTTTGGTGGTTCATCGGTGCGAAAAATACCCCAACTGGGATGATATGTAAAATGAACCCCCCATGTTTGCTTTCTGGATTTGGTGTCCTGGGTTTACCGCGTCATGCGTTTGCAGAAACATCTGAGCCATCAAAACTTTCGCCATTGTCGATTGGTTATGATAGGGGGTTATAGATTCTATACTACCCCAATATTTGGGGATTGTGATACCCCATAATTTAATAGGGAGATATATATATATAGATAGGGATACCTATGAACCAACCATTGCAACGGGATGGGGTAGGGCCAGGGTTAGTTTTGTTTGTGGCTTATCTGTGGAATCGGTACTGCAGTGTTTTTTGTCTTTTTGCCTGCGCCTACTGTGGCTTCTGTTTGTTCATCCATCCATTGTCTCAGATCCAAGATCCAAATTGGTTTGGTTTCCAGCTCCACAAATGGGCCATCACATTGCCTCACGGCTTGTATCATGTCTATATCCTGGGTCAACCTTGGTTATATTATATATATATTATAACTACTAAATTTATATAGGTTATTTGGTACTCATAGTGCATATCATATCATGTCTAGAATCTATACATATATATATATACACATATATAATTTAGTACTTTAATCAATTTTGCTATCAATGGTAAACTGTACTAACCAACTAACAACACTAGATTTGAATGCAGGTTTTCTAAGATTCACCGTGTATCTTTGTTTGCTTTGGACACATGAACCAAGTGTTAATGATCATTTGGGTCACAACGTCGCTCATGTAATGCTGAAACGCAGTTTTTTCCACCTAGTTTTCCTCCCTTAAATTTGGGGATTTCCGATGGTTTTGCATGGGTTCCCATACTTTTCCATTGAAGTAGATCAGTAACTGATGGATTTGGACCGTTTTGATGAATTCCAATGGTCTCATCACATCGAGCTCCAGGCCTTCTATTTGCCACCTCGCCGTTGATGGGCGTGCAGGACGGGAAGGGCTGGGGCAGCGTGAGAATGGGAGGTGGGACCTGGTTTCAGGCTGGTGAGTGATGATAGTTTATGATAGTTTGTCCAGATAGATGATCTTTACTTCATACCTTCTGGTTTTCCAACTGGACTTCGGAACTGCCGGTGTCAGTTCCGGATGTTTGCTTCGCCAACTGAAGATCTACCGGATCTACCCCTTAAAGTTATGGCCATGATTTTTTTGGGAACATTATGATTAACCAGCGGATGGAATGGGGTACCTCATTTTCAGACAAAGCCATGCAGCATAGGGCCTATGCAGATTAGCTACATGTGACTGAACAGGACTGCACACAAAGTTTCCATAGTTGGAACAGAAGTGCTGGAATACCCAAGGTGTGTCGTGGGCAAATGCCCCATGGGAAAGTTCGGACAGGTACTTGTGATAGTTCTTGAAGATAGCTCCGCAACGATTGAACGGTTGTGTGATATCTGCGGGATATTTTCTTCGGACTAGACTTGAGATACGTCAATTATTATCACATGTTGGTCCATGTTTCACTCTATCACACATCTCAGTGCCTGGGTGATGTTCAAACAGGAGATGGATCATTGCCACATGATTCAGACAACTCAGCAGTTGTTTGAGCCATTCCACCGTGTGGAAGTGCAGTTCTATTTCACAAGTGGAGTATATAGCCAAATATTACGAAAAGGGTTTATATACTAGTAATCGTAACCCTATTTATAGCCAAATATTATTACTTAATAATTTGGTTCCACTATGAAGGTTGTGAAGTTACAACCATAGTCATACAGAGTGGAGTTCACCCGGCAAACTGGTGCTCTCCAGCAACCCGGCGGGTGAAGGGTGAAGGGACCATTTCCTTAAGCCAATCTTTGACAGAAAGCCTGCTCAGAGTGTCTTCAAGTTCTGGGCTGTACCGTACGCATAGTCATGCACGGCAATATGTATATATTGTGCATATATATATATATAAAATACATATCTGTGATAGCCAAACCTCGGTTAAATCATCCATATGGGCGGATGGCATCAATCCATCGATTGGAATTCATATACCCAGCATGTCAGGATTCCCAGTTGACCAAGCCCGAAGGATCAAACAAGAACAGGCAACAGTTACCCTAGGATCAACTAGCAGAAATATGGAAAACCCATGGTTTCCCCATGGTTTCCCCATGGTTTCCCCATGGTTTCCCTAGAAAAATCACATGTTTTCGTTTCTTTACCCCAGATATCCAGTTGTTTTTCCTCCAGGTTTCCAGTCCTGCAGGAGGGTCACCCCTTGGCCAACATCCCGCTGCCGCGCGCCATTCTGCCGCCCTTTGCGCGCAAGCCGGAGGATGCCACGCCGAAGCGACGGGATTCCTCGGCACATCGAGGTGAGATGTCGCAGAGGGGATTCGCAACATGGGGATGGCTCAAGAATAGGGGAACTTACAGGGATTTAATCGGATTTAACCATCAACAATGGAGAAAAAAACTCGCGATTCCTCGTAAATAGATAGTAGAATAGTATAAAATAGTGATAATACAACGGGATTCAGGTGTGTCCTTCAAAACGGGAAATGTTCATGCAAAATATATGATCATTACTGGGGAAACCGATGATGAAGTACCCATTTAGCAGCCAAGAATGGGGATATGGGGATGGCTCAAAACGATTCAAAGCCCATGATTTGTATTTTTTTCGGGGATAAATGAACATCCAGAACATCCAGAACTACCAGATATGTTGAATTATTTTGATGTCAGAATCAAGGTATCGTTTTGACAACTGCGACTTAACCGAGTTGCATACTATGGTTGCGAACATTTCTGACTTGTTCCCAGTGCTTGAAATGATCCATCGGATTTTTTTTTTGGGGTCCCAATCCGTCGCAGGGTGGTAGTTTCCTTTGATGTTTTTTAGCCTGTATGAGTCTAATTATGACTATTACTATGGCGGGGTAGTTCCAACTCAGATTCACACTAATAAACGGTTGACTTGGCTTCAAGATGTTTCGTTCGAATTCGACTTGAGATGACCTGCAGTTTTTCCTTGAAGGGACTGAGACGTGTTGAACCCACCGTAAGTGCTGCATTGCAGGTTTCTTCGCCAATTGCTGCTGCGGCTTCTTCCGGGGCGTGCGGAATTTCATGCGTGGCTTCTTCGTCATGTTGGCCACGTCCTACGAAGCTCGGTCTTTGTCGTTTTGATTGCTATGCTTCAGTAGCGGAGGGTAATGAAGTTGAGGTAAACGTTGGTGAGTGCATGGGTTGTTATGGGTTGTTTTGGGTTGTTATTGGTTGTTAGATGCTTATTTGGTTGACATTATGATGCGATCCAATTCCTATAAACAATGACTCTTGGGGGAAATTAATATTCATGGGAAGGGATTCAGGGATTACAACACATGTTTACTTTCTTTGTTCTGGGTTTGGCCATGATAACAATTGCAGGTAGAATCCTTCCGACCATAGGGACATGATTTCGTCGCTTCTCTCCTGTGGAACACCTAACAGCAGACTCCAAACCTACAGATTGCTTTTTGTTTTTACCAATGATCAGGTGAATATATCATTATTGATGAATCATCATCATGTTCAGACTGACATTAATCACTGGTTGGTGGTTTGGAATATATTTATTTGTCCATATATTGGGAATTTCATAACCCCAACTGACGAACTCATATTTGTTCAGAGGGGTTGGTATAGCACCAACCAGATCATTAATCAATATCAATCATCATAATTTAATCATCATTAAATTATTATTATATAATCATCACCATGTTCAAACTGACATTAATCACCGGTTGGTGGTTTGTTTTTTGTTTATTGTTCCATCTATTCGGAATTTCATAACCCCGACTGACGAACTCATATTTTTCAGAGGGAGTGGTTTACCACCAACCAGATCATCAATCAACAGATGATTGGTATTGATTGGTAATTTTCATCATCAACCAATATGTTTCAATACCAACCAGTATCAATCATCTATCCTCAACAAATGCTCGAGTATGCTGTGACATCTCCAGGATTCGGATCTACCGGTGAACGCGCCCTTGACACAGAGGCGGATCCTGATAGGTTGGGTAACGGTTACCGGCACCAACGGTGTTTTGCTTTGGATACCATGTTTTTTGTTGGGATACAAATTGGGATTTGGTGGTATATTTGATGGGATCAACCTTTTATATACTGTAATTAACCAACGTGATATGATCTGTGTTTTTTCCCCACATCTTTGTGTGGGGTTCTTGTTTTTGGTTCTGCACTTCCGCCTGCCCGCTCCCGCTCCCGCGTGCCGCCCACACACAACTTACTCACACACACAACTTACTCACACACACAACTTGTCAACACACAACTTGCTCACTCACACAACTTGTCACCACACAACTTGCTCACACGCAACTTACTCACACACAACTTGTCGACACACAACTTGCTCACACACACACACAACTTACTCACACACAACTTGCTCACTCACACAACTTGTCACCACACAACTTGGTCACACACAACTTACTCACACACAACTTGTCGACACACAACTTGCTCACACACACAACTTACTCACAGACAACTTGCTCACACACAACTTGCTCACACACAAGTTGCCCACACACAACTTACTCACACACAACTTGTCAACACACAACTTGCTCACTCACACAACTTGTCACCACACAACTTGCTCACACACAACTTCTCAACACACAACTTGTCACCACACAACTTGCTCACACACAACTTCCTCACACACAACTTGTCCACACACACACACACACACCTTGCGTGGCAGGCGTGACACTTGGCGACATGGACGTGCACTTTGCGTGGCAGGTGTGGTACTTATGGCACTGGGATGGCTCTGGTGGCGTGCTTGGTTCCCAGTTGACGCCGTGGTCGCCGCGGCTGTTTGCGTGGCAGGCGTGGCACTTGGCGACATCGACTGCGCTGCGGCTGTTTGTGTGGCAGGCGTGGCACTTGGCGACATCGACCTTCACTTTGCGTGGCACTTGGCGGCATCGACTTGGCGACATCGACTTGGCGACATCGACCTTCACACACAACTTTGTCACACAACCCTTTCACACACAACTTTGTCACACACAATTCTTTCACACACACACAACTTTGTCACACACACAACGTTGTCACATACAACTCTTTCACACAACACCTTACACACAACATTGTCACATACAACTCTTTCACACACAACACTTTTACATACACAAACTTACACACACACACGCAACAATGTCACACAAAGCTCTTTCACCCAACCTGTCTTGCTCCATCTCCTTTCCTTCCTGCCTTTCCCATCTCATTTTCACATCTGCTTGATGATCATGGGAAGAAGTTGACATGTGGTGTTTTCCGGTCCTTTAATTTTTGGTGTGTGTGTGTGTCTGAAATGGCGGATTTGGTGTAAAGGACAAAAACATTAGAAAAATGGGCTGTTGGGTACCTTATTTTCGGAGAAACCCATTTGCGCACATGAACATGTTGTTTCAGAAGGCCAATGTTGGTAAGGCTGTAACAAGTGGAAGATAATGTGGGATTGTCACCAACAAAAACAATCAAAAACAAGGGTGCAACCAACAACGCCATGACAGTGGCGATGCCAGGAATATTCAGGTCTCCGGCCTGAGTTCTCAAGATTTACTGCATACAAATCAGTTGCTGAAGAAAGATAGACTGGTGGTTGGAAGAGGTTGTCATGTCCTATAACAATTTGAGATGATGATCCCTTATGACAAGCATTAAACTTGCCAGGGAAGTTGAAACCATCAGTCAGCATAGATGTGGAGGAAACATGATTTCAAGCTGTCAATTTATGAACTCAAAACGGAGAGATACATCGATGATTCTTGAAATTAGTCACTCGTAGGCATCAAAACCCATGTCTGCGAGACAGTGAAATAGCCCATCTACTATCCAATTTCATGTATGTTCCCTTTTGGAAATAAAAGTAGCAATAAATAGTGTATGAATAGTATCCCATCTAACAAATTAATATTTACTAATATTAATGTTTTTCTTATGTGTTCTTTCCATTTCCAAGAGTATATAGGATACTGGAGAGTACTAAAGCACCATTTTTGAATTCACCCTGATTGTTTGTTAGGAATCCATCATAAGTTGTCTATGCTGGAGGGTGCAAACTATAGGGATCATCATAAGCGATGTTTAGTATGAAGAATCATCCCACATATTGTACCCTCTGATAACTTAACGTAGCTATGATAATCAATGAAAATCACAGTTTTTAAAAGATAAATCATCATTTTCCATACTGGTTAACTATCTGAAATAACCAGAGGGTATTTGCAGTTTTTGTTTCCCGGATTGTAACACATCTTACCGATCTATTACGTGATACTATGTTTCCGTTCAATTCCAGGATTTCTATCCCACCATCGTATATCAGGATTGATCAGTGATGTCAAGGTTAATGTGGGTTTCACCGTTAAACATAAATAATATTTGATTTATTTTGATACAACATCATGATATGACAATCATATGCTGATCAGTTATCCTGATATTGTGAAGACAAATAACACACACATGACATATACGGATCATTTCTTCGACTTATTGACTATCATTGAGCATTCTTCACAAATTTCCAGACTGCTTATCAGTAAATTATCAAGGTGGGTGTATTTATTTATATATTTATTGTTCGCCACCCTGTTTCATAAAAAAAAAACTATCATAACATTGTCAAGGTATTTGATCCAGATCATCGATATGATGTTGGATTTGTTGCGCCCTAATCAGTTGTATCAACATGGGAGTGGTTTAAAATGGGGTATGCCGGGAAAAACCTTGGTATACCACTATTTTGAACCGGGAGAATTCTGATAAGCAAATGGTGAATGACCTCAATGACCTCACGAAACTGGTTAAACATCATGATAGCATGGTATTTACCCTGTGGTAATTTAACATAGCTATTGAACATTTCCCATTTATAGTTGATTTACCTATTAAAGATGGTGATATTTCACAGCAATGTTAGTTTACCAGAGAGTATTTATTATACTAATCATATCAATATGAACATCATATCATCTTTACTAAGTAACCAATCAAGCAAACCCAAATGATGTTCTCATCCAAACCTCCATTTATCATCAATATTCCATTGCAATTTTGATTACCGGAGGGTATATTCCCATTATCTCTCCATTATATCCCTACTACATCCCATTCAATCACCATTAATAGTTATTGTTTTAACATTTTTTGGTATTAATTGATATCATACATGTGATGTGTATCAACTATGACATGTCATAAAATTACTATTTCACAACATTTACAGTGCAATTATCAGATGTATCAACATATCGACCCAGATCATCGAGTCATCCCACCGCATGTCCCCTTCAGGCGGCCCCGCTTAAAGTTCAGCGGCAAGCGACGTTTGACGCGACTCCCCACTGTGCCGCTGAGCACTGTGAAACGTGCCCGTGAAAACCACGAGGTGACCTTGTACCTCGCTGAGAATTAATTATGTGTATATATATATATATGTTTGTGTGTGTGCTTGTTTACAACACCTGTTTATATAGATATATAATGATATATATATAATGATACACATTTATATATATATATAAAGAACATGTATGTATAGTTATACGGTATACAGAATTATATAGACACATCATAGTGTATAATATATCATGATAGGACTAATGATTAGGACTAATGATAGGAATATATAATCAACGGTCTGATATTCTGGGTAAAGGATGGTAAACCAACTGGATGGGTATTCTAGTACAACCATGGGGATATTTTACAACTTAATCTAAACATGTGTTTCTTTCCGGCAGGGTATAATCATGTATAATCTAGAATTGGGGACTTGGAAGGGAACTTAAGACACACTCACACACACATTTAGTGAGTCCCCATTTGTTGATGGAGCGTTTTAGGTGAGATGATTCAACCCGTTAAGCCTCGGTTGTGATGTTGATAAGGCGTGTATATTGAGCCATACTGAGCCTTGTGTCTTGCTGGAGAGATGAACACCTAAACAAGGAAATCATACCACATGGGACTTTAACTTTAATCAACAAGTAAGCAAACATACAATGAATGACTCTGCTTTGACAAATGGAATTGATGACTTGTATCACCGATTTCGATGGGATACACCCTGCCCATCCTGCGCAAAAATGCAGCTTGCGTACGCCTTCCACTGAGCTGGAACCGTACGGAAGTTCTCTGGTGGATCTCAATTTTTTTCTTCTCATGTTCCATCACTACTAAATGACGATGCAATCGTTGTGTCCTAATTACCAAGCGTTTTGTTTCACCACCCAAGGAGCTCATCGAATGTGTTTTGTTTGTATGGGCTCAGAGTCGTTGATCTGAGGAATGACATTGTGATGGCAGCTGTGACGGGTGCCATTCGAAGATATTGTTTCTTGGCTGGTTGGAATCCCCATGAGAGGTAGTTCATCTACAAGTGCAAGCACCAAACTAGAAACATAGTTCATGTGAACATTGATAAACCCGTAGTAAAGCATACCCAAAAAGATGTGTCTTCATTGCAGTTGCCATGGTTTACCACATTAGAACTTGTGATGGGGGAAACCGCCTCGCTTGTGCCCGTCGATTTGTCTCGCTTGTGCCCGTGCAGCCCCTTTCAGTGACTTTACGTTGCAGGGCCAAGGTAAACAGCAGCTAAGAGCAAGTAACTAGCGTGTTGAAGAGCAAGTGAACACAAATTTTCATGGCTTAGTGCACACATGTTTTTTTTCCCCAAGTCCCAACCTAAAAGGTTGTTTATGTACACTTTGATACCTACACCATGTCTCCTTGTCCCCAAGCCCCCCCCAAACCCAAAGTCCCCAAGTCCCAACCTAAAGTTTGTTTATGTACGCTTTGATACCTACACCCTGTCTCCTTGTCCCCAAGTCCCCCCCTAAACCCAAGTCCCCAAGTCCCAACCTAAAAGGTTGTTTTTGTACATGAAGATAGGTATACATGAATCTGGGCGCAAGTGAGTCGTTTTGATGGGCGCAAGTGAGGCTGGTTCTTGTGATGGGCGTACAGCTCTCGCAGCCAGGTGTGCACAAGGGTGATACACAGCTCACGGAAGGAAGACCAGTTGAGATGCTTGGACAAAAGCGTACCCGGGTGGGTTGAAGCAGCCAGCCTGGAGAACCAGTTGGGTGGTTCTTCAGAATTTTGGGGGACATTGACTGAAAAATAATGATAAGATAGAATATATAATTATATGTCAATCATTAGCCAATCATGATTGATCAAAATCATTAGCCAATCATGTCAACACTGGCAGTTTGATCATGAATCAACCCATGCAAGGCTTATCTCGGCAGGTGAGTTGTCCTTATTCCATTACTGGCGGTTTACTTTTTACAATGACACTAGTGGAGACCATTGGTTACTGAAAGTCAGGGGCCCTGTGGATTCTGATGCCGAACAGAGTTGTCAGCAGAAACCAAAATCAATTGGCCACTCCAAGGTGCAAAAGCATGCTGATGTTGGCGTTGCCAAGAGAGTGTGATATCTCCAACCCCACCATTGCCTTACAGAACAAGATGTTGTTTTCCAGCGTGAGGTGCCACACCTCGTGGTGCATGGGTTGGGATGGGATGCATTACTCAACAACTGAGTGGTGTCAGCAGTATGTCTCCAGCAAAACATGTGACCCAAATCCACCATGTTGCGTCGCCTACTGGGGCCTACTGAGTCGATGTTCACTGTCTGGTTTGAGGTTTACCCGGCCTGGTTATCACTAACATAGCCATGGTATAGATGGCCCATAGAAATAGATGGTTTACCTAGCTATAAAATGGGTGGATCTTCCCATGGCAAACTGTTAGTCATAACCAGATGGCAGCGGCAATAGCTCAGAAGATCGCTGTCCACTTAAGGCTCAGCCAGAGGCTATCATAACTTGCTGGACCTTGGTTGGTAAAGGTAGTTTCCTTCTTATTTTGTTTGCCATTGTGATATACACATATATATATACATATTCTACTCATCTCGAAATTCATATAACTAATCATTGTCTTACAGGGTATCATGTCTGAAATGAGCAACAGTCCAGTAGCTACTCATTGGTTGGTGCTTTCAAACATGTTTTCGTGTCCACCTGCCATCAGATCACCAGTCCAGGCTACCAGTGCAGGAAGGCACTCGCGCGGGGCGTGTGAAGAAGATGGCCGAGTCTTTGTCGCTGATGGGTGAAGAATGGTGACCTTACTGGATGTTTACCCTCTGGTAGACGTTAACACAAAACTATGGAAAGATCCACCATGCTATCAATGGGTAAATCCACTATTTCGACTTCGCCATTTTCAATAGCGAACTGTTAAATTACCAGAGTGTAGCCATGAAGAGATTTGATGTCATCGTGCCTGTGTGGATAACAGCCATATTGGTACCGTTTGATACTGTAGCAAGTTGGGAACTGAACAGCAACATATCCTGATACTTTTTGCGATGTTTTGACTTGAGTGGTGACGGGGTGTTACCAGTAATTGGACAATGAGCAATGAAAGATCCACTGAGTTAAATTGTTGATCGGCCTTTTTTTTCAAGCCCCACAAAAAGCACGTGTCAAAGAAAAAGATGGTGCAATATTCCCTTGGGTCAATAGATAGATAGATAGATAGATAGATAATGATAGATAGATAGATAGATAGATAGATAGATAGATAGATAGATAGATAGATAGATAGATAATGATAGATAGATAATGATAGATAGATAATGATAGATAGATAATGATAGATAGATAATGATAGATAGATAATTATAGATAGATAATGATAGATAGATAATGATAGATAGATAATGATAGATAGATAATGATAAATAGATAGATAGATAGATAGATAGATAGATAGATATATCTATATATATATATATCAATATTTCAACCCAAACGCTGTCTATTGAGTACGAATTTCACGCAATGTCAGCATGACATTTGAGGCTCGATGCAGCGGTGTACCCTGGCTAAGGAAGCATGCAGCGACTTGAAGTCCATGGCGTATATGATGGGTTTGAAGTTTCTTGGAAAGCCAAGCTTCATGTGCGTCTGAAAATAACAATTTTGAAGACACAATGATATATTTTTCAGAATATATAGATAGATATATAGACATATAGATAGATATATACACAATAGATATATATATATATATATACACAATGTGGGGTCCTATTTTTAGATTTTTTCAGACAAAGCAACCTGGATCAATTTGGAGATCGCCTCGTTGGATCCCGGAAGGGATCCCGCCCAGGTTCTTTACCAACTTGGCATCGATGTCGCCCAGAGCCTTCTTGTCGCTGAGTCATGAGTCATGAGTCATGATGTTGAAAGTCTGTAGGGAAAAAATGTCATGTATATGTATGTATATAGATGTATATAGTACATATACTTATATATATATTTATATATACTTATATATATATACTTTGCAAGTGCCAAGGAAGCATTCAATTTTGGTGGAATCAACTTTTTGATATGATATCCCTGCAGATTCATGGTTTCATTGCCTTCTGGGATTCGCTAGATGCTTGTTCATTGATCATCGACGGGCCATCTCAGCATTACCGATTTGACAGGCCTCTTATTATAGCCAAAGGATCAAAACTATCGGTGTCTCACCATGTCAATGTGGTACTACGGAGAGAGGAAGAGAGGCTCTTTAAGACCATGCTTTTCCATAGATTTCAATGAATGGCTCATGGTATTACGTACTGTAGCTCATGCCGCTCTTTCGTTCCCTCTATCTCTCTTTTGTTTTCTCTGTTATGAATTGTTTTGCCTATGCATATATTTAGTGTTGCTGTTGCTGTGTATAATCAATTGTTATCAGGCGGTTTATTGGCACGTTGAAACAACGTGTATTCGTAGAAGTATTGAGTATTCTAGTTACGTAGTACTGAGATATAGTGATATGATAAGAGTAAGTGAGTTCAGACAGTGGACATTGGACATACATGTATATGTATATATTAATATATGCAATAGAGATACGTATACGCAGAATATCTACCCTTGGTCATGTCCAGTGGTCATTGCCCTTTTTTAATCGTAAAATTGTTGGCCAAGGAACAAAGCAACGGGAGAGTCCTGGTCAAAGCATAGTTTCTTGATCACCAATGTGCCTAGCACCACCGGACCAATGATGCTCGGCAGATGTTTCCACGCGTGACACAGGTGGACAACTTGATGAGGGCGATATATAAAAAGAAAAAGGAAATGGAACATAACATAAAGTGATTAAACACAGAATCTCAGCAAGGTCTTTCCCCTGCTTTTCCGGTTTTTCCTCCTACGTTTACGTTCTTGGTCTTTGTTGCTGTATACATCTTTGAAGGTGCTGTTCACCCTACTCTGAAGTACGAAGTGACAGCAGCCAGCAGCCACAAGCAAGTACATGAACAGGCAGCTGATATGCATCAGCTTCAGAGCGTTAAGTATTGACCAAAATATTGTAGTTGCGCAAAATCAAAGAAATGATCTCCCAGATTGTTTATTTTTTGACATATTGGAATTTGGCCGAACAGTGCTATATGTGGCACTATACCGATGAAGTTGCCACAAAGTAGGCAGCATCTATCAGATATATAATTTCCCGGCAGCATCTATCAGATATATGATTTCCCGGTTGTTTCCTCGTGAAGTATCCTCTTCCAGGGTCTGTAGCGGGGGCTTTTGGGCTCTTGGACCTTAACCCAGCGAAAATCGCCACGCCATGTGAGGACCTGGCCCAAAGGGGAAGGTGGTGAACAGTTGCAAGGGATCACCATGGCGGCTGGTCTCTATTGGTACATAGCACCTTTGTGCGTACATAATAAATATGCAATCAGATGAATATAGTATTAAATAATTATGTTTGATACACATAATTATATGCATAGTATATACATATTATACATATACATGTATCAGCTCTATGCATGTATGTTTGTATAATTACATACATACATACATACATACATACATACATAATTATATATGTGTGTGTGCATGCTTGCATGCAATATGTTCACACGTAGTGACTTTGTTGCTGTGCTTGGGGTGGGTCGAATTGGGGATATTTATTATGCCATGTTGAAGTGCTCGACTGGCTGCTAGTTGCCTCGTTCTGACCATAATTTGGATGCGAGACGACTTGTTGTGGTTGCGTGTAGCTCTCAGAACCATGTGGTTTTGAAAAAAAGGCACAATTCAATTGTCGGATATTTTCCGGATGCCATCAGCTGCATCCTGTAGAAAAACGTGGTTCTCCAATGTTATCCCCTATAAAAGTGGAGAGTGTTTCGACTTGCCTCACTGACTCGCACAGAGTAGCCATAGCTACTGGGTGGTGAAGAGTCAAGATTGGACACTTCCCTAAATCACATTGACATGGTGATGGATGTGCTTAGGAGGGAACGGTTGGTTTGAGTCCTAAACGGTGCAGACATGTTCCGAAAGCACACGGGCCGACACATTCTCATTCGTTTCATCTTTGGCACGTTTACAATGACCCTCTCCGGCTGCTCATGAAACAAAGTGGTGGTGATTAGTGATGGTTTAATACCTACGCTAGATTCCAGTTATAAGTGGATATATCACATAAGATCACATAAGTTATACGGGTTATATCATGTTACATCTCAACTTAGTCCTGCACACTCCTGCAACCCCAAGCAGGGTTTGGCTGGCCCCCAAGCACATCAAGCCGTCAAATCTTCAGGTCATTGCCAATGTGATGAATCAGGTCTCAGTGATCAGTGCCATGGCTAAATTGCTGGGGTCATAACCTCGTAAAAAGCCACGTAACAAGGAACAGCTTTCGGCCGCTTTCGGCCAGCTGGGTTTGTCCCAACTTGATCCAAATTTCTTGACGAGTTGATGATCTACGTGTGGCTCTCGATGATTTCCGCGAGATTTTGGCGGTGTCACCATCAGGTTACAACGGAGAGCTCTACTCCAGTCTAGTCTCTGATCCTGACGTCATCGACGAGGAGGGGGAAGCGTCTGGAAGCTGAAGCTGGGTGGATACCCAAAACTGGGGACGAGGTTAACCTTGGATAGGTACTTTGGTACTTTAGTCTGTTGCGGACCAAATGGGTAATATATGATAATAATATTGTATAATGATGATATAATGATATATAGATATTCAATGATATATTAAGCTATCCAGCTAAAAAGTAGAGCATGCACTAAGATAGGCATTGTTTACCCTCGAATTATGACTATTTGAGTCAGGAAGATGGTGATTTTTTACATCGGATATTCATTATGAACAACTGGCTGAACTGGTTGACCGAAAAAAAAAACGAAACGTCCCAATTTTCTCGGTCGGCTTGATTCTGCCGGACGATGGGTTGACTCCATTGACTCCAGGATGATTCCCGTTTTATGGCGGAATTCCAGATGTGAATTTCAGGAATTGCCAAAACAAAACAAAGACATTGGTCCATTTTGCGCCTTTTTTCATTTTTTTTCCTTTCTTGCATCACTTTCCTCCGGGTTTTTGGTTTTAAGGACTGCACTTGTCCGGCGTCCGCTCCGTCAGGAAGCTGAGTTCTGCAAGATCTGGCTGTCGGAATTTGAAGCCCTGGCTGATCCCATGAAGTTCCTTGGGCGATCTGTCGTCATCTCGGTTTCGGATGGTATCAAGAAGGCCAGTACTATATGGAGTTTCCTAAAATGGGGGGTACCCCCAAATCAAAAAAAAAATCATAGGATGTTCCATCAAAAAAAACATCTATTTTGGGGATTTTTTGGGTACCCCCATTGGAAGCCTGTTTTTTAATGGCCCCCAATCATACTGGAATTGCCTGGACTTGGATCCCGACCCTGGACGCTGTGGACGCTTCCGAGGAACGACACGGATGGAGTGGTGAGACCATGATCCAGGAGGCCATCGATTGCAGCTCCAAGACCTCACAAGATTTTGAGATCACTTCGCCGGAAAATTACCAGAGTTAAAGCCCTACATTCCAAAAAAAGGGTGACTTACTGACTTGTATCTGGTCAAGGGCCATAACTGCATTACTCTGGAAAAACATGTTTCGTCTTCTGGGAACTGTGTTTCATAGTCACAAGATGAACATGATGAACTATTCCAATACAGCGTCAAGAACAATGTACAGCTGAATCGCAACTTGCACTGCCATGAAACCGTGAAGCCCTTTCAGTAACTTCCTTGATAGGTGAATGGTCTTTTGAACCCAATCCAATTGACTGGCTGCATCCAGCAGTGTTTCAGTTGAGCGACTAAAGATCCTGGGAGGAGTCCATGGTGAAGGGGAGATGGGTTTGTCTGACACTGGGGTCCGAATGTCTGATCTTTTCAGCCGTTTAGGTGAACATTCGAGTATTAGAAATGAACATTATTCAACTGGCTGGTGGTTTGGAACATTGTTTATGACTTTCCATATATTGGGAATAAGCATCCCAACTGATTTTCATATTTTTCAGAGGGGTAGGTATACCACCAACTAGTTCAAGATCGGGGTTTTATACCCTGTTTTAAGGCAGCCAAGACAAAAAAGGGGTCTCCTTTGGCATGTTTGGTCATGGGCCAATGGATGGATATGCCATGATATAATCAATGATATACCATGCAATCATCGAACTAATGGCCGACCAGCTGAAACAAGGCCTCCAATCTGAGGGATTATGAGGGTAGAATTTTAAGTGACTTGAGATGACTTGAGCAGATTCTGGCTGAGAAAAATTGTATAAATAGGTCTTGACCCCTTCCATCCCCAAATCTGTCAGTCGATGATGTGTGCAATATCCTGCAAGAAGTGAACAATTGTATTGCAAGTGAAAAAGGGGCACAAGGAATAAGATGTTTGCATGTTTCGCATCCTTTGTTGCTCACACCCAGAATCTTTCAAGATCATCAGATTCCAACAAAGTTGGAATCAGTTGTGCTCAGATGCCCAGAACAAGTTGGAACGCCCACATGTTGTTCTAAGTCCCACCCTTAAAAGGTGATCGTTACACAGAAAATATCGATGATATACGCAGGATTACGAAGGCCTGTTGGATGCACAACTTGAAGGCCCTAGTTTCGTGGTGTATTTCTTCATTGTGTGGCTCATATTGGTGGGATCCTTTAATGGCAGGGATTGCGATTGTATTTGTGTATTTGTTCAAATGCAGCCCGTGCATGTGAGTTTTCAAGCTTCACTTCTGCCTGCTCAGCACAGCAACGTTTTGATGGTCCTCCCAAACACCGCAAAAAAGGGCGTTCCTGAAATGTCTCATGACCCTTAAACAAGTACGTTTTGCATCATTTTGCTGTTAATCAGCTCAATGGGCATAGCTTTATAGGCCAGAAGAGTTGTGCCCCTTGTGCTTTCGCTGGAAAAAAAAAAGCTGGTCACCCTGCATGGCTCGCGCGGCTGGCTACCCCCAAGGCCCAAGAAGACAGATTTCAATTGATCGTCGATCCTCATTTTCAGGTGTTGGTAAAGCAACAACAGACCATCCCCAAGTTTACCATAATTAGATGGGGCTATAATCCATCAAGATACGGGTGGTTTTATGTGCTTTATTATTGATGTACTAACATTATAAGTGGCAGCAAATTGGAGTACATGTTTGGACAAGCCTGTCATTATTTGTTCCATGTTGCATTGGTTAAATCCCTATGATTGATGCGTGAATCCCCAAATTTGCTGGTGTTGGAGTCCTGATTTTTGACGCCATTCAGATGCATTAATCCTCATTAGATAATGAAATAACTAGAAACAACCGACTAAACCATGATTGCTCCCCATTGGATCCGTTGATCTACATGAACGCGACGACTCTGGAATCGTGGGAATTTGATTAGGGGAGTCATCCCAGATGGCAGGGAAGTTTTCAGGCTGGTGAGTTATGATCCATGTTTGCTAGGTAGTCAAGTCACAAATCCCATGTTTCCCTGTTAAATCCCTATCTTTGCTAGCATCCCCATTGATCAATTATAAGTAGCAACCCCAAAGAGGATAGACAATCGTCAAACCCCACCAGCAATAGCGGTGTTTTCTTGAACTTTCTCTAAATCTTTGCTAGTTCAATCCCCATTCACCCTCTGGTAACCTAACAGTTCGCTATGGAAAAGCACTATTTCTAGTAGGTGAATCGGTAAACTCATCTAATTACCTACTAGAAATAGTTGGTAAATCGGTGAATGTTTATGAATTACACTCTGGTAAATTAACATAGACCCTGAAACTGACCAATTTATGGTGGAAACTAGTCTTTCAACCCCCATCTGACAGGGTCTATGTTAATTTACTGGAGGGTACCATCTAATTCATCTAGCATAAATCCACGGGCCATGGCTATGGAGCTTCCATAGCCATGGCCAGGTTTACTTGCCAGGCCTTCCCGCTGAACAGCAGGTCTCTCCGCCTGGACAGATCGTTGTGGGATGATCCTTAATCCAGCGAAAATGCGCTAAACTTTAACAGCTAACACATGGGGATTTGGCATGATCTAGCCAGCAAAAATGGTGATTTAGCATGATTTAGCAAGCAAACATGGGAATTCAGCATGATTTAAGAAGCAAGAATGTGGATTTAGCAGACAAAAGTGGAGAATTTTCAGCAACAATCGATGAGGATGTACGCAAGAAACATGGTGATGCCACAAGAAATGGGCGACCAAACTGCCCAAAGTTGGGATTTCAGCAACTAAAGCCATCAACCCCGAGGACATCCACAACAAGGGGGGTTCCACTGGGCATACACACGTATGTCAAGAACAATATGTAATATATGCATAGACAATATCAATTTATAGTTAGATTGGATAGGTAGATATTTAATATATATATATATATAATGTGTATATATATATAGATATGATTAGATGCATGTCTGCGTCCTCTATTCTTATTAGCTTGGGGCAAACCCATTTTGAATCCCAAAAAATGACCGATCCGCCAAGGACAAGATGATTGCCTGGCATCTCAGGGAATGAAAGTGGCAATTTTAGTAGGGAAAAAAATGGAAAACATGCGATTCATCACGACATTTGATGACATTTGGAGGTACCCTATTTTCAGACAAACTTATGTCTTGGGTCAAACCTTGGATGGGTATTCTACCATAAACCCAGGTATGCTTGAATATGTCAGTTACTTTAGTACTTTAATATCTTTCTGTGATTGGGAATATATCGCTAACCCGCAAAAACTCTTTTTGCTGATCCTCTAAGATTGGCAATGGTCTATCTTGAATTAGCAGGTGGGGAAACTGAAACAAAGAGGGATCCAACCAACAGTCGATGGGGGAATTCATCATCAACCATGAAGATTTCACTGGTTGTCCCTCTGGTAATCAAGCATTGCTGGAAGCATTCGCTCGAAATTGGCATTCAAATGGGAAAATCATCTACAAATGGCACATTTTCAAGCACGCCATGTTGATTGCGGTAGGATAAAGTTGACATGGATTTTGCCATGGAATTTGCAACGAACGTTGGGTTTGGATGATGCTGGACTGTTTAAGAATAGAACAGATGTTGGTGGTACTGGTGTTCAGTACCTCGTACACTTTAACTTACAGACATTGATGGTCAGGATCTATATTATATGTTTTGTTGCACCCAGAACCCTGAAGAATTATAATATAGATATACATGAATAACTAGGGTACACATATATATATATATACATAGACATATTTTTACCATACCCAGTTGTTGGCCTTAGGATCCCCCCAGGCAAGCCTGTGTCATTGGCAGTTGGATGTGATTCCAGTTGGTAGTAGGGGAGTTCAAACCCATTATAAACCGTTGAAACATATCAACGCATTGTGTAAAAAAACTATTTTATAAACGATGTAGCTAGATGGATGGATGGATGGATGGATGCATGGATAGAAAGATAGATAAATAAATAGATAGATACTGTTGATAGATAGCTGCTTTAGAGAGATAGATACTGTAGATAGATAGAAACTGTTGATACATACTATAGATACTGTAGATTAGGTACTGTAGGTAGATAGAAACTGTAGATAGATAGATGGAAACATGGAAACATGGAAAGATGGACAGATGGACAGATGGATAGATGATATGACAGATATGATAGATAGATCGATAGATCGATAAATCAACAGATCGAAAGATCAAAAGATCGATTGAACGACAGATCGAAAGATCGATAGATCGATAGATCGAAAGATCGATAGATTGATTGATCGATTGATAGATCGATATATTGATAGATTGATCGGTATGATAGATATGACAGATATGATAGGTATGACCGGTATGATAGGTATGATAGGTATGGTAGATACGATATGATACGATATGATATGTATGTATATATATATATCATCCATTGGCAAAAGAGGTGTATGTTGTCAATAGATGGTATCAGCTCAGGATTTGGCAGCTGCCACTGCTGTCCTGATCCCTGAGTTTCTGGGCTTTCTGCACAAGTGCTGGAGAAAGGGGATCATCATCTATAGTGTTAAATATGTTTAAATGGACATATCATATGTACCCCGTGGTAAATTAACATAGACCCTGAAAATGAGCAATTTATAGTGGAAACTAGTCTTCCAACCCCTATCTGGCAGGGTCTATGTTAATTTACTGGAGGGTACCATCTAATATATATGGTGTTGTAAAGGGATAATCATCTATATGTGATAGAAGCTGGCTGCCCCTCTGTTTTTCGTGCAGCGCCTGCAGCGCTGTGCTGCTGTGCTGACAGGGGTGGGCACTAGGGGATAACCCACTCATACTACCCTCTGGTAAATTAACATAGACCCTGGCAGATAGGGGTTTGGAAGACTACTTTCCATTAAACATTGGCTATTTTCAGGGTCTATGTTTATTTACCAGAGGGTATATAATTCTAATTTTGTGTATACTGTATATATTTATATACTGTATATGTGTTTTTCATGGGAAAATCAACCACACATGGTTTTTCTCGATGCTCAATTACCGGTACATTTAAGCATGGCTATCAACATCTATATTCAAAAGCAGAACTGACTGGAAGTCCAAGAGTCAGAAGCCGCATACTTGCTGTTGAAGCCCAGGTATCTTAAATGTGGGCAAAAACGATCTGAAATAACATGAAATAACAATACAGACTTTACCTAGTTATATTATATATATATGTTGTATATATTTTTATACTGTATATATATATAGTGTGTATATATATTGTATATATAAATATTGTTTACTTATTTAAATAAAATGTAAATACATATATATATATATATTGTATATATTGTATATATTGTATATATATATATAAATATTGTATATATTGTATATATATATATATATTGTTTATATATATTGCATATATATATATATTGTATGTATATATTTATATTGTATATATTGTATATATTGTATATATTGTATATATATTGTATATATTGTAAATATTGTATATATTGTATATATTGTATACATTGTATATATTGTATATATTGTATATATTGTATATACGTATATATTGTATATACATATATATATATTGTGTATATATATATATATACATATTGTATATATTGTATATATATATTGTATAAATTGTACATATATATGTATATATGTATATATTTATAGTGTATATATATTGTGTATATATATATTGTATATATATATTGTATATATATATATATATTAATATTGTATATATTGTATATATTGTATATAGTGTATATATTGTATATATTGTATATATTGTATA